TTCAAAGGACACTATCAAGAAAGTGAAAAGACAACCTATACAATGGGGGAAAATATTTGCAAATTATATATTGATAAGAGTCTAGTATCCAGAATATGTAAAGAAAAGAACTCTTAAACTCAACAGTGAAAAGACAACCCAATTAAAATATGGCCAAAGTACTTTGAATGGACATTTATCCAAAGAAGATATACAAATAGCCAACAAGCACAGGAAAAGATGCTCAACATCATTAGTCATTAGGGAAATGCAACTCTAACCCACAAAGATACATCACTTCGCACTCACTAGGATGACTATAATTGTTTTAAGAAGAAAAGAGAAAGGAAAACAGTAAGTATTGGTGAGCATGTGGAAAACTCGGAGCCCTCATACCTTGCTGGTGAGGATGTAAAAGTAAGGCGTAGACACCGGGGAGAAGAGTCTGGCAGCTCCTCGGAGAGTTAATGTAGAGTTACACTATGACCCGGCCATCCCACTCCTAGATTTGCACACCCGAGAGAATCCAAAGCATATTCACGCAATAGCTTGCACACACGTGTTCAAGCAGCATTATTCACAGTACCAAAAGGTAGAAGTAACCCAAATTCCATCAACTGATGAATGGATAAAGAAAATGGGGTATATGTGTGGTCTGTGTGGCTTAGCTGGTTTGGCGTTGTCCTGTGCACCAAGAGGTCGCTGGTTTGATTCTTGGTCAGGGCACATGCCTGGGTTGCAGGCTCCATCCCCGATGGGGGAGGAGTGCAGGAGGCAGCCAATATTTCTCTCTCTCTCTCTCCCTCTCCCTTCCTCTTTCTCTAGATCAATAAAAAAATCTTTAAAAAACAGAAAAAGAAAGTATGCCATCTGCATACAATGGGATATTATTTGGCCATAAAAAGGAATGAAGTCCTGCCACATACTACAACACGGATGAACTTTGAAAACATCATGCTGAATGAAAGAAGCCAGACACAGAAGGCCACAAATTATATTTTCCCATTTATAGGAAATTCCAGAATAGAGAAATTCGTGGGACAGAAAATAGATTAGTGAGTGCCTGGGCTCAGGGGAGACAGAATGGGGAGTGACCGCTAAAGGGTACTGGGTGTCTTTTGGGGTGTAGAGTATGCTGGGAAAAGATAGTGGTGATGGTTGCACAGTCTTGTGAATGGACTAAAGAAAACTGCATTGTACACTTTTAAATATGTGAATTACATTTCAAGCTTTAAAAAGTGCAGAAAGGTGTCATGTGCCCTTGCTCAGCTTCCCCAGTGGTAACCTCCTCTGTGACCACAGCACATGGTCGGACCAGGAACTTGACATTGGTGTAGTGTGCAGACCTTCATACACTCAATTATGTGTGTGTGTGGGTTCTGTCAGTTTCGTCACATGTAGATCTGTACAACCACCACCACCACCACCTTGAGACACCGAACGGTTCTGTCACCAAGAAGGGATTCCCCTGCAATCCTCTATAGTCACGCCTCCCACACCCGTCCCTAGCACTGGGGACCACTGCCCTGTTCTCCATGCTTTCTGTCACTTCAAGAATGCTATACTGGCCCTGGGGTTGTGCAGATGGCAACAATCGATGTGTCTCCCTCACATCAATGTTTCTCTCTTCCTCCTCCTCTCCCTCCTGCTCTATCTGAAGATAAATGTAAAAAAATATCCTCGGGTGAGGATTAAAAAAAAAAAAGAAAAAAAAAAAGAATGCTATACTGTCCAGCCAGTGTGGCTCAGTGGTTGAGCATCGACCCATGCACCAAGAGGTCACTGGTTCGATTCCCGGTCAGGACACATGCCCAGGTTGTGGGCCCGATCCCCAGAGGGAGCATGCAGGAGGTGGCCAGTTGATGTTCTCTCTCATTGATGTTTCTATCTCCCCCTCTCTCTCTCTTTGTTCCTCTCTGTCTAAAATCAATAAAGGGAAAAAAAGAATGCAATACTAATGGGATTATGCTGTCTGTAACCTTTTTGAGACTGACTTTTTCTTTCAGCATAATGCCCTTGATGTCCATCCAAATTGTTGTGTATTTCAGTAGTTTGTTCCTTTTTTATTGCAGTGGGCTTCACCTGGCGTTTTCACCTGTTTGCCTCCCTGAGGTGGGTGCCTCTGTGTTAGGTTAAGCATGGATGAGAAAAGCACCTTTGTTTAGGAGGCAGAAAGATACCTCCTCAGGGAAGCCTTCCCTGGCCATCCATCCTAATAGTCCTTCCTTCAGCCATTAATAATTCTCTCTTATTCATCATTAAACTCATCCCTGCTTTGATTTTCTTGGTGTTTTCACCTGTTTGCCTCCATACTACACAGAGCTGGGACTGGCGGGCCAGACGCCCCCGCAGCCCGCATCTGCCTCAGCGCCTGCTCACCCAGGGCCCCGAGCTGGGCGCCGCCTAGCAGGGCTGTGGGCGCCTCCCTCCGCCCCAGCCCTTCCCACTTCGGCGGTCAGCCTGCCCCCACACCACTGGCACCGAGGCTGCCCAGGTGGAGGATCGTTTCTCTGGCCTCTAGGCAGCCGGTGCAGACCTGTGGGGAAGAGCCAGTTTGAGAGAGCAGCCGGCTCCCTGTCCCGGTGGAGTCCCTCTGAGCATCCACACCGGCTCGATTCCAGGAGCCCACGGGAGCTGCGGGTTTGGTGACCCTGGGCTGCCTCTCCGCTCTCTTCCCAGTGTCCAGCTCGCCTTTCCTCGCTGTCCGAATGAACTCCTGCTAGAATCCTTGCTTCGGGGTCTGCTTCTTGGGGGTCCAGACCAAGACACATGAATTAATGAATTAAAAACCCAGGTGTCAGTCCTCACTCCACCCCTCTGACAGGCCACACGCCTTGCTGTGCTCTGGTCTTCCTTCCGTGACACAGGTGTCCCAGCAGACCGGCCTCCCGGGCTGTGAGAGACGGTGGCGGTGGTTCCTGCGCATCTCTCAGCCCCTGGCGGGCGGGCGCTCCGCCCGCGGGCCTGGCGCCTGGGGTGTGCCCAGCAGGTTGGGTCAGGCCTCAGGGGCTTCCCGTCAGCCTCCCTGTCCGACTCTGTGGAAAGGAAACATCAGAAGGCCTGGTTGCTAACGAGGCCCTGAGTTCTCTACAGATTCATGTTCTTTTGACTTTGAACACGATGATTCCCAATTAGCCCTCCTGTTATTCCCCCTGCTGACAGAAATGTGAAGGGAAATCAATGAAGCCCTCCCGCCAGCGTCCAAGGGTCAGCTTCTGTCTCTGCCTTTTTCAAGCAGCCACCGTGACCCATGTTAGGCCCCAGCTCGGCGAAGGAATGAGACTCACGGCTGGACTGAGATGTGATGTCTTGAACCCTCACAGCCACCCAGAGCACTAGAAGTTCTTGCAGAGCTTGAGAAACTTGCCAGAATAAGTCAGAACCCCTTGAACTCATCTCTCCCCCTTAACCAAAGCCGCCTCCACCGCCTGAAAGGCGCCATTGCCACGGAACAAGCCACCTCTGTTCTTCCCGGCAGCTGGAGCCTGGACCTCCGTCTCCCGGGGGCCTCAGAGCCGAGCCAGCCAACCTCCTCCTTTCCTGGCCCTGTCATTCAGTGAGGGGAGTCTGCTGAGGCATTTTTAAATACAGGGCGCTGGTCCTATTTAATAAAAGGGACAACTTCAGCCCGTGTCAGAGATGCGGTGATTGTTCTTTGGCACATGGGCTCGGCCCCTAGGCAGAGACCCTCACTCAGATGCCTGCAGGGCCCGGCAGAGGCATAATGAGAGAGTGAGGCGGGTGTAAACCGGTAGGGAGTTGTGGGGACCGAGGCACCAGAGAGCACTTGCCTAGGGGGTGCCAGGGACCCCTGCTGCCACCCACAGCTTCCAGGTCTGCAGAGAAGCCAAGAACGCAGCTGGGAGGAGCGGAGTCCTCTCCGTCTGTAAGTGTTGGCAGCGAATTTGCCTTCTTTTTTTTTTTAAAGAACACTCGTGAGCCAAACAAAATAGCTGCGCAGGCCAGCTTCAGTTTACAGTCTTTTTAAAGTTTTAATGAGACAACTGATATTAGGAGGAAAATTTCACTTATCCATGTATTTATCCATTCATTCAACAAAGCGTTTTTGGCATTCATCATGTGCCAAGGAATTATGCTGCACGCTAAGGGTTCTGGAGTGACTTTGACGCGGCCACTTCCCTGAAAACTCACAGATGAGTGTGTGGGCAGTGCCAGGGACCTCACGACAGGCCACTGTGGGACACGGAGGGACGTACTGCGGGCACAGCTGGAGGAGAGAGGAATGCGTCAAGGGAAGGGGTGACGGGGACCAGAGCGTGTGTGGGCTAGGACAGGAAGAGAGCTGCCCCGGAGCGGCCTGTGCAGGCGTTCAGGAGCGAGGGCTTGGCCTGGGCGGGCCGGGAGGCACCTGCGAGACAGGAGAGGAGCCGGAGAGCTTAGGAAATGCCCTAATCTGGCTGTTCCGTCTGCATCGGAAGCACTCAGGACGAAATGTGTTGGTGTGAATGAGAACGACAGCGAGGCTTCCCTGCTCTCTGCCCCCTGACCTTGAGGTGGCCTTGGCGGGCCGGCGGGAATGGCGCACTGAGGTCCTAAGAGGGACAGAAGAACTGTGGCTCAGTGCCGTCACCCTCTACTAATAGATGCCTGAGCCAGTTTCTTTCTTGTCTATTTAAAAATTTTTAAAATTCAAGATTTTGCAAAAGAAAATAAAAAACTGCTTGCCAGGTTTATCGGATAAGGCCAATGGTGGCTCTTCCAGTCCTTCCTCCTAGTGGGCCCCCTGCCACCGCGCTGTCCTCAAAGCTGATCCAGACAAAGTCCGCTGCCTTTCATTCAGTCTGGATGGAGGCGCAGAAGGCCCCTGTGGCAGCTTTAGGCAGGGACGAGGGCCAGTCCAGACGGGGTGAGATCTGAGACCTTCCCCACCCCGGATTATGTAGAGAAGGGGCCCTGGGCCTGCCCTCAGGCCTCTTGGGTTTCATTAGGGGTCACTGCTGGTGTGCTTTGGGGAGAGGCAGACATGCACTGACCGCTCCCCTCTCTCGCTGGTGTTTCAGAGCAAGGAAGAGCCCTCCTTGTGGACGAGCCCCTTCCGCCCGCCGCTCCAGCTCTCTTTCGTGATCCGCAACACGAGACTGCTGCGAGCCTTTGGTCTGGCCAAGATCAAGGTTCGGAATTACTGGACGGCTGATGGCGTGAGTACCGGGCTCTGAGCCCTGGGGGCATGGGCTGATGCGGGCACTTAGTGTTACCTAACAGTCTAATTCCCGAAACTGCACAGTGGAGGCCCCACTGGCTGTAGCCAGCGCCTGCTGGGGGATTTCTCAGAGCCACGCAGCAGAGTCTCTGCTTGAAGGTTTGGGAAGTATAATCAGGGCGCCCTTTGGGGGAACTGGAAAAGTACCAACGGAGGCTCCATTTTAACAGATAAGGAAACAGACACAGAGAAAGGTTATGTAACATGCCCCGAGTCACACAGCCAGGGAGCCTCAGAGTGAGAGTTGAACCCCTGCAGCCGGACCCTCACTGGGTCCACAGTGGCTGTGAGGGGCCTTGCCAACACGCAGGGGCTCACTCAGCCCGCGCAGGGCAGCGCCCAGCTCCCAGGGTGCCAGTGCCCTCATGTGCAGACCCTGCTCCGTGCCTGGCTGCCCCTCTGGTTTCAGAACTCTCCTCTCCTGCCCTCCCACCACTCCCGACCCCCAGCCTCACCCTTTCTTCACTGGACTGTGTTGCATGTGTTCATTGTATTGATTCCTTCCTTTGACATTTATTATTGAGCACATCACTGGGGGCCCCAGGCTTCATGGCCAGTTTTGAGGACCCTGGTATAAGGCACAGCCCATGCCCTGGAGATGCTCCTTTCCGAAAGCTGCATTCAAGGAAGTGTACAGGTATAATGCAGTGCGATCAAGACCTTGGTAACCGTGAACCCAGAGTCCCAAGGGCTTGCTTCAAAGAGAAGCCCCTGGAGCTCAGTGGGGGACGCAGTGGCTGAGGAAGGACCAGACCCCTCAGCCTGTTTTCTTTGCCCTCTAGTGACAGACATGGGATGAAATTGTTCTTTCCAATCTGCTGTAAGGGGAGTGATAGGACAAGCAAGATAGCAAATGGGCGTGGTGGGGAGTGTGGGAGACTGTGAAGCATAGGCCACTTTTCAGCATAGGCCAACTAACGGTTGCCATGGAGGAATGCCAGCCAGAGCTGCGAGGGCTTCTGCGCATGTCCAGGGAGCTGGGAATGCAGATTTTGTTGAGCCTTTCTGGTCTGTGAATGTCAGTAGCTCATTTAAATTCTTTTGAAACCACCATGTATTTCAAATCGAACTCATCTTTGGGCTGGAGCTGGCCTGTCCCAGACGGTACCCCTTGGGTACATTGGAGGGGGCCTGCTGCAGGCTGGGAGAGGTCAGGAAGGTACCTGAAGGAGTACATACCTGAGCTCTTCACTAACCTCCATGCAGTTACACCTTTAGTCCCCAGCCCCTCCCATCCTGCTCAACTCGAAATGCCTGCCTCCGGGTCCTATGCCTGAAAAACCTGGATGGTCACTTTCTCCAGGAAGCCAGCCTGGCCGTTGCACTGCTGCTGAACCTCATGAACATGTCCCATCACCCTGTACTAGGATTGATGCCTGGCTCCCCACAGTTCCGGGGGCCTCCTGGGAGCGGGCCTGCATTTCCCCACCACGGCTCTGTGCAGAGCAGAAACACATGGTTGTTGAATGAATGAATGAATGTGTTCATTCCCAGGGATGGAGAGCAGTTGTCTGACCCTTTTGTTTTTTAATTTGGGGTGCCCTGAACTGTGCCATGTTGGATCTTGATATTGAGACTGATTTTTAAATTTTTTTTATTTTCCCTGGCCAGTTTGGCTCAGCGGTAGAGCATCGGCCCGCGAAGCAGAGTCCCAGGATCAATTCTAGCCAAGGGCACGTACATCAGTTGCGGTTTGACCCTGGCCCCATTTGGGGTTGTGCGGATGGCATGGCAACCAACTGATGTGCCTTTCTCACATCAATGTTTCTCTCTCTCTCTTCCTCCCTTTCTCCCTCTCACGCTATCTGAAGATGAATGCAGAAGTGTCCTCGGGTGAGGATAAGAAAAAAATTTTTTAATTTTATTTTAAACTTTATTGTTAAATACATTACAGATGCCCCCCTTTTCCCCCATTGACCCCCTCCTGCCCACTCCTGCCCTCCTCCTACCTTTCTCACAATATTGTCTCTATCCATTGATTGTGCATATATGCATATAAGTTCTTCCAGCCCCCCCACCCCCATTTCCTTTGAGGTTCATCAGTCTAATCAATTAATTCCTTCACCTTTTTCACCCATCCCCCCACCCGCCCTCCCATCTGGCAACCAACAAAAAGTTCTCTGGTCCTGGCTGGTTTTCTCAGTGGTTAGAGCTTTGGCCCAAGGACCAAAGAGTCCTGGGTTTGATTCCGGTCAAGGTCACGTACCTCAGTTGTGGTTGGATCTCGGCCCTGGTTGGGGTTGTATGGGAGGGAACCAATCGATGTGTCTCTCTCGCATCAATGTTTCCCTCCCTCCCTCCCCCCCACTCTATCTGAAAATCAATGGAAAAATAGTCTTGGGTGAGGATCAAAAATAAAAGTCTGTTTCTGTTCTGCTTGTTCATTTTGTTTGTAGATTGAATTGCTGAAAGATATGTATGTATTGACATTTTAGTGTTCATATTTTTGTTCTTCAAGAAGACCCTTCAACATTTCATATAATACTGGTTTGGTGGTGATGAACTCCTTTGGCTTCTTCTTGTCTGGGAAACTCTTGATATATCCATTGATTCTAAATGATAGCTTTGCAGGATAGAGTAATCTTGGTTGTAGGTCCTTGCTTTTCATCACTTTGAATATTTCTTGCTACTTCCTGCTGGCCTGCAAAGTTTCTTTTGAGACATCGGCTTACAGTATTATGGGAGCTCCCTTGTAGGTAACTAACTGCTTTTCTATTTCAGCTTTTAAGATTCTCTCTTTGTCTTTATACTTTCGCATTTGTTGATGATATGTCTTGGTGTAGACCTCTTTGGGTTCTTCTTGTTTGGGACTCTGCTTCCTGGACTTGTATGTCTGTTTCCTTCACCAAGTTAGGGACATTTTCTGTCATTATTTCTTCAAATAGGTTTTCAATTTCTGGCTCTCTCTCTCCTTCTTCCAGCACCCCCATGATGCAAATATTGGTATACTTGAAGTTGTTCCAGAGGCTCCTTACACTCTCCTCATTTCTTGGGATTCTTTTTTCTTTTTGCTGTTCTGAGTGGGTGTCTTTTGCTTCTTTATATTCCAAATCGATGGTTTGCTTCTTGGCTTCACCTACTCTACTGTTGATTCTCTGTAAATGATTCTTTATTTCAGTTAGTACACCCTTAATTTCTGACTGGTCCTTTGTTATGCTCTTGAGGTCCTCACTAAGTTCCTTGAGCATCCTTATAAGCAGTGTTTTGAACTCTTCATATGTTAGATTGCTTATCTCCATTTTGTTTAGTTCTTTTCCTGGAATTTTGTTCTGTTCGTTCATTTGGTATATGTTTTTTTTTTGTCTCATCATTTTGGCTGACTCCCTGTGATTGTTTCTATGTATTAGGTAGAGTTGCTATGTCTCCTATGCTTCCTAGGGTGGCCTACTATTGTAGGTGTCCTGTAGGGTCCAGTGACACAGCCTCCCTGGTCTTCTAGCTGGGCCCTTGAGGTGCACCCCTAGTGTGGACTATACACCTTTCTGTTGTAATTGAGTCTTGATTGCTGTTGGTATGTCAATGGGAGGGATTTACTCAGGCTGATCAGCTGCAAGGACTGGCTGTGCTCCGACCACTGACCTCTGACTACCTTGGACGATCAGCTGTGCAGGGGCCCGCCATACAGAGCTGGCTCTGGGGCAAGATCAGCCACTGCCTGTCTTCTACCCAGGGCTACCAGGTATAAGCTACAAAGCAATCTGCAGACGGCTGCTTCTTGTGCTGGGCTTGAAGGTGCCCAGGCAAAGCCAAGCTGTGAACCAAGGCTGGCTGCCTCTAGTGCCTGACCTGGGGCCACTTAGCAAGAGGTATGGGGCTCACTGAGGCCAGATACCGGTTGTTTGAAAGAATTTAGGAAACTCTGAAGCCAAAACAGCGCAATCCTATGGTAAATCTACTGGAAACATCTTGGGTGGACCTGAAAGTTGGGTGGGGCAGAACCTCAGGGAGTCACCAGGGCGGGGCAAACAGTGTGAGCCAGGTTGCTGGAGTCCCAGATATGGTGCCCGTGTGCAGGCCCCATGGGGCAAGGGCTCACCAAAGGAACAATGGCCTCCGCCAACAGGTCTGTGCATCCAGGAGAAAGCTGCCTCTCCAGCCCTCACTGTAATGCCAAACTACTCAGTTCTTCCCCAAATGTCTCTGGTGCCTGTCAAGGTGCCTCCTCCAAGCTGGAGCCTGGGGGTGCAAGTCCAAGTAAGTCTGTGCTCCGGCCCTTTAAGAGGAGCCGCCTGGGGCTCCAGAAGCCTCAGCCTCCCTCAACCTCAGTTCCCACTGGTTTCACAGACAAAGTTATGGGGACTTCTCTTCCTGGCACTGGAACCCTGAGTTGGGTGCCTGTGTGGGACGAGGACCCCTTGTTTTGCAGTGAGGACCTACCGGCCAAGGTATCCTCCTGATTTTTATCCACCACACAGGGGTGTGGGAGCAGCCCGTCTGCGCCTCCGCCCCTCCTTCCAGTCTCATGTGGCTGCTGCTTTAATTTCTTTTTTTTTTTTTTTTTTGTACGTTGCCCCTAGCGGGAACCGACCAGGGACTCTCTGGTCCGTAGGCCGACGCTCCAACCGCTGAGCCAAACCGGCCAGGGCAACTGCTGCTTTAATTTCATAGTTGTGGGATTTCCATTCAGCTGGATGTCAAGTGGTCTGAGTGATGGTTGTTTGGTAGTTGTCATTTTAATGTGGTTGTGTGAGAAGGTCATCCTGAAGGGAAGTCGTCTTCCCCCTTTGAGATCCAGATGAGGGACTGGGGATAAGAGCTCAGGACACGTATACAAGGTCATAGCAGGTTCGAGGCCGACGGCATCAACCAGGACAGTGTGTGCGTCTGCCCCTCCCTGTCCTCCCCTCCCACGCTTCCTGCTGGTTCTCTGCCCAGCGTCCAGTGTCCTGTGAACAGAGATCCGCGAGGCTCGGGAGCTGCAGGCGGCCAGGGCTGTCC